CAACACCTTTGCAGAGATGCGCGAAGCTCATCGCGTTTAACCAAATCAATCGACTGTCGCAGACGCCTTCAGGGCGCCGGTCTTTCTACACAGACTTGGCCTTAAACCCGATATCTGACCAAGACCCTCTGCAGGCCGGTACCAGAGCTCTGGCGTCAAAAGCTATGGGTGGGAACCTCTACCCCGTTATATGAACCCCGACCTCCATCCTGTCCGTAGACTAGCACGCGCCGCGGCCCTTCATACGCGACACTCCGATCGTCCTGGTGTTTTCTACGTGGACGTCTCGGGTCCCTCCCCTTCGGGTCACTTCACGGCTGCCATGATTACAGAGGGCCAAACACGTAGATGGCCTCTCCTTTCGAGCAGACACAGTAACGCACGCTGAAGAGGTTGCCATAGCTTTGGCCGCCTCTCACCCTGCCTCACGCACCATCCTGACGGACTCGCGCTCGGCCTGTTCTCAGTACCTTCAGGGTTCCATTGCCCGCTGGCGGCTAGCCTACTACAGGCGGCCTCTTGGCGCTTAAACCCTCATCCCAGTCGTATAGTCTGGACCCCAGGCCACTCAGGTCTGCCCGGCAACGAGGCGGCAAATGCCGCTGCCCGTGCTTCTCCTGTTCCGGGGCCGTTTGCCCCTCCCATGTCCCGAGACGGAATCTGGCAATACCAACCTGACGCGCTTTCGCGAAACTTTGGCTCATTACCGGGCTTCGCGCCGCCTCTACCCGACCCCGCACGCGGTTTGGAGAAAGCGGACGAACGACTGCTACGGCCGCCTGCAGACTAACACCTTTATCAGTCCGGCGGTCGCCAGGCCCTTTTTGCCGGAACTCATGGCACTTGCTCGACCTGTCATGTTCCTCGCTGACACATATCACGTCGTAGCATCGTGCCAGTTAATCCCGTCCCTTTCTCATCCCCTTTCCTATCCCAACTAGAGAGGCTTGGGAGGAGCACCTGCTCGGCTGCTCTACCTTGGCTGCACACGCTCCTTGGTGGAGTGCGCACGGGCAGATTCCAGCTCCACTGGCGTCCCGGAATAGGGTCTTGCCACTCTAGCAGACGGTGGGCCACGTCGGCACTCTCTAGAAGACTTTTTCTGAAATAAATTTTTTTACCACCTACCACCTACTTAGACGTGGACAGAAGACAGGGGCATGCCTACGGATGCACGCTTCGGACGGACGGACATACAGACTGTTGTGATTCTTTTTACACCATGCAGCAATCGCACCGTTCGCCGCTCGTGGCATTTTTCTGTCGCGAGAAACGCGGTGTGCCTTCCCAGCTCTAGTAGCTAGCGTGCACGGTGAAAACATACTTGAGGTGAACAAAACAAACAGCGTTCTCTGCTCGGCGTTGGCGTTTCACAGTGGCATCTCTAGCACACATTTCCAGTTGTTTTTGAGAGGCGCTTAGCCAGTGGAACTGTCGAAAGTGAAGTGCGAATGAACGAGAAAGTGGGGCCAGGGAGGAGAGATGGCGAACAGCAAGAGAAGGATCGGCGAAGCGCTGCACCTACCCTTTCCTACACTCTCTCGCACCCCATGCTCCGGTTGCTAGGGGCAAGGATAAGCGCGCGCGCCCGCAGCTATGGGTGAGAGAGTTAGAGCGGAGAGTGAGAGCGGCGCCACGGACGCCGTAGACAACGCCTGATGCCTGACATATACTGATTAAGAAACTTACTCGCATTCAACAGAAACTGAATTCTGCACATATGTTTGCACAGTACCTTCTAGAAAAGTGAAAGTATTGCTGTGGCCTTATCACGGAAAAGGTGTAATGAGAAGAGTGGTATAGATGTTGTAAATCGTTCAGTGCTTATACCCATGACACACGCGCAAAAGTAAAGTACTTTGAAGTAAACCCCTTTTGTCGCCTAAGGGGACCATTTGCAGAAAGGAGTGGCGCTGATGACACACGGAACCGGACTACTGATTTAGGCGGTGCCTCAGAAGAACGATGCAGAAAAAATGGCGGTGTTTGTGGAAGCAGCAAGATTGGAAATATTAAAAAAGAATCTGCGCATGTACATCACATTCAGCGACGCCGGAGCATAAACCGTTTTTTTATTGTCTGGTGGCTTATAATGCGCATACCTGTAATTTTATTTCGCTTTTTTACGTTTTAAGCAGCATCTTAAGTTCGTCTGGCAACTATGAATAGTCGGTGTTTGCTGTTTTTGTTTTTTGTAGTGCTTTTTACATGACTGCATCCAGCTGGGTCAGTGACGGCGTGCCGCGTTTCATCGTGGTCCTGCGATTTCTCAGCGCAGAGACAGAGATAAAGCATTGAGGTGGGCCTGACTCTTTCACCCTCGGCTCCATCAAAGATGAGCTAAACGCTGTGAAGGCAAGAGTGATGAGCCTCAAACAAAGACTCGTCATGAACAGCTTCATTTTGACTGCTTCCGCACTGTCCACCCGAGCCATTAACCGCGAAGTTGGACCTATGTGCGCAACGAACGCTGGTTCGAAGACACATTGCCGTTATAGGCGACGGCCACTTTAAGCAGTGTTTTCGAGTGAGCCCGACACAGCAACTGCCGCTGCCAACCCTAACATGATCGCGCTAGTGACGTAATGCAGGCATTTGAGAGTATGGACAGACTATAGGCCTTCACTTTTGAACAAACCGCACTGCTGCTGAAAATGAAAACATTTTCTCAGCGCAAAAAAATACATCAAGTATTCAGATACTTTATATATATATATATATATATATATCTTATATATCTATATATATATATATATATATATATATATATATATATATATATATAATATATTATATATATATATATTCATATACTTGATATATAGTACACGTTAAAGAACGCCGGGGGTTCACAATTTTCAGAGCTGTCTGCTAAGGTGTATTCTGATGATGTCGTTGGCTTTAGGATGTCCAACCCAAGGCTAATGCACTGTTATCTCAGCCCATGCAATTTATTTCTTCTTCTCAATCCGTTTATAGATATTTATCAGGCGCTTCCTGTCCTTCCTTGTTGTGTTGTGACAGCGCTTTTAGGATGTTTATTGTGCCATCTCACACAACACGGGGAAGTGACTGGAAGTGCCTGATGCACATTTATAAACCCAACGCACAGGCCTGGACTACGCAGCCATAGTCTACCAGTCTGCCAGACCGAAGGCATTCAAGATTTTGGATCGTGTTCGGAATCGTCGCATACGCTTTTTCTAAGGGGTCCATTTCGCACGAGCCCGGTGGAAACTCAGTGCAACGTTGAGTTTAACGAGTGGTCGCTACACCTGCGAAGATCTTATATGTCGTTTTATTCAGCTCAATTAACCCGACAAGAAACATCCCTCCCATTATACTGTCGAATGATCTGTCCAGTGATGCGCAGTTTGAAAACTGTCCTTCATTTCCACAGCCCTACTCGCTTCCTTTGAGGAATCTAACCGCGGTGACGCGTGCGCCATTTCGGCACCGTTTAATTGCTCCCGCGGCACCACTGGTGCCATGGCATTGGCGGACCATAGATTGAAATACGTATTTCTTGTAATTAACGAAGCACACGCTCATCGCACATATCCGCCACACTTCCTGGAACTCCAACGAAAATACACATGTCCCGAGTTCTTTACGGACGCCTTAAAGTGTAACACATCTGTGTCCTACGCTGCGGTCGCTACATTCTTTACAGACACCGGTGCTTTGCATCCCGAGATAAGCATCTTCACAGCCGAGGCTGATGCGATAATTACGGCTCTTAAACAGAATGAACGAAGAAAGCTACAAAATGCAGTAATTTACACCGATCCCCTGAGCATGGTGAAGCTCTGAAAACTGCCTTGGCACTGGGAGATTCGAGGAAATGAGATGGCGGACGAGCTAGCCGCGTCCGCCCAGCAAAGTACTGTCAACACATGCACATCCATTCATGTGCATGACCTAAACCATCTCCTAAACAAAAGCTTAGAGCTTATTGGCAGAGCCCTTGGGATAAAGACACCCAAAATAAACTGCTCGTTATAAAGCCGTTTAATGACAATCGGACGTTGTTATCGAAGTCACGCAGCACACAAGTATCACTAACAAGGCATCGAAACGCACACATCACACATGGATACCTTCTTACAGTGATGATCCAAAGAGGTGTGAAAGATGTGGAGAACCACTTGCCGTTCTTCACATTAGATGATATTAGAAATAAGCGCTTTACATTGACTCTCTATAACAGTACCGACAACAATTTTCTTTGAAACTTGCCATGTTCCTCAGCAGGGACTCGCTTTTCGGATATCAGTCACTTTCTGATTTTTTAAAACGATATACATAGTTTTGATGTCGTATACCCAGGGATTCTGTAGCACGACCTCTAAGCAGAGGTCACGGCGGCGGTGACTGCTATAAAATAAGCGCCCACCTCGTGGCCCTTGTTCTCAAGAGCATTGACAAGACACTCGTGCTGACTCCATATGCCCATGATTTTGTTACCTAGAGCACATGTCATTTATCTTCATAGTACACAAGTCACGTCACTTCCATCGTTTTTTTACATCTTATACGTTTTACCTGTCTTTAGGACGAGGAACTTCAGGCCCCTATACAGCCACTGACTTTCACCACCATTGCTCACAATTTCACATCCCCTGAACATCATTGTAAATAACAAATCATTGTTATTGTTGCTTCACCTTTCATGGTGCCCTTTCACCTAGCATGAACCTTGCACCTCTACAATCCATATATCATCATCATTGGTGTTTTGCGTGCCTTTTGCCATGCATATTCCAACTGTGTTGATTTGTTGGAGTGGTGAGGCTTGTCAAGCTGCCGATATTGCAGCTTTCGGCCTGTTATCCCCACCATTAATTGTACTTTTTTCTTCTCTCTCTTCAACCTTGTTACACTTGTATCAATTTATATAAATAACCCAATTCTCAAATCTCAAAAAGCAACCAACTAGACCAGTTTCGCATGCTATTAAACATATGGTCATCGACATATTAAACGCATTCTGCTAATACCTTGCCTTAAGGTTGAGGCTGACGAACGGCGTGTCCTGGTCGTACAGCGTGCAAGCCGTCGTCCACGTGTACAGATCCAATAGGGCGAATGCCATGCCGGCATGCAGATTGCCGTGCAAGTCGCAGTGCTCCTTCTCGAGTCGAAGCTCGTACATCACTTCTCCATCGCGTGTCAAAGACGCTGGCTTCACCTGCATATGACAGGATAGCAAGCTGTTGTCACATCGCTAGCAATTTTTCATGGCACATTATTGTATCTGAGCGTATATGCGAGTGCATATACTGAACAGTGTCCTGTCTTGCTACACCCCTCTTCAGAGCGTGTACAGGGGAGAGCATGCCTAGCTGCATAGTCTCAGTTGGGCCTGATAAATTGTGTCAGCTTCACCCATTGTCTTCAAGGTTTCGCTATTTTTAACCCGGGTGCCCTACCTTTCGTATACTCCCCCTTATGTCATCTTAATCTGCGGGCGACCGATTTCTTACGCCAAAACCCACCGGTTTCTGGCATCATTATTGATATGGACCTCTGTTGGAGTCCGCATGTGACCTATATGAAGAAGCGCCTGACCGCTATTTCCCAACTGTTCAAGTTCCTGGCAGGAAAGACATGGGGATGTCAGTAGACGCAATGATGGAGCTCTACAGGGCCCTGTTTCTCGGTTTCCTCAGATATAGCTTGCCCGTGCTTAGCAAACCTGCAAGACCAATGTTCGTGTTTTACAGGCAGTACAAGCCCAAATGCTGAGAGTGTGCCTCGGTCTGCCCAGATGTACGTCACCAGAAGCAACATCGCAATTGCTGGTGACTATTCGATACAAACTGACATTGTTGTAGAAGTCCGGAGAACGCACATCACACTTCGCACGTGCTCCCTGCCATCACCTTGCACTGTTGCCTTCAGAGAGGTGCCAAGCATCGTTCGCCAAAATGATTGTGAAATACAACGATAAACGTCGCTCGGGCTTCACTCCTGCATCTAAACCATCCATACCACCTTAGTGTCTTATTCGACCCACAGTGCATCTTAGTGTACCAGGGATCCGGAGGAAATCTGAGCTTTCGTCGCCCGCGCTGAACACTGTCTCTTCTTCTTTTGCACGAGAAAATATTCAGACAGCATACATGTATACACCGATGGTTCCGCGAACCACCATGTTCGTCAGGGCAGTAGTTATCCCAGCAAGAGGTGTTACCATCAGCTTTAGGACTGACCGCTCCACAGCATCTACAGCAGTGGAACTAGCCGCTTTGCGCGCTGCACTTTGTGTGGTCAATCGGGAACCACCGCAACAATGGTCAGATTTTCAGTGACTCAAGGGCTGCCCTACAATCTGTGCTCTCAGTACTGCGTCGCGGCCCGTACGAACAGCTTGTTTTCGAATTTAGATGCCTTCTCCCACACTTTTTTGAGAAGGGCATCATGTGACGCTTCAATGGCTGCCAAGTCACTGCGGCATCATAGAAAACGAACATGCTGATACTGCCGCGCGGGAAGCCCTTGAAGGAACACGAGAAGAAGCCACTTTCGAGGACCGATGCTGCCAGTATCTTCGACGACTTGCGCGCGAAATCACGTTTTCACTATGGTGCCCACCAAGCATCGATACGAATCGTCAACACCACCAGTCATCTTTGTTGGCTCTCCGCATGCCCACTGTACTCGACCGAAGAGAAGCCACCCTTCTTCATCGCTTATGGCTAGGAGTGCCATTTACAAAATCTTACTCCTTTGTCATGGAATGGCCGACAACGCTCTCTGCGATGCCTGTCACTGCGAAGAGGCGCTACACCACATCCTGTGTGACTGTCCGTTGAATGAAATCCAAGACAGTCTTTAGCGTCCGCTTTTGCGCGCATCGACAGCAGCCAAATGTCTGTGGACACTATTGTGTCAAGTGCCCGAGAGAAGACATTGCAACAGAAGGCGACGAAAGCTCTGTTGAAATTCCTACGCGACACCGACTTGAACAAGCGACTGTAACAGCAATGTCCACACCACGAAAGACAAGACTGGACTATGACTGAGTGTTCGCGTGTGTGCTGCCGAATGTGCTGCTTCTCTCTTCCCTCTCTGCTCTCTTTCATCTCCCCCATACCTTCTCATGCGCAAGGTAGCAAACCGGCTGCCTATAGGCTGGTTGACCTCCTTGCCTTTCTTTCCCTCTATTTCCTTCCTTCCCCCCGGTTCGTCATTCGTGTACACAAGGTCCACAAAGGATCTGTACATTTTAAAACTTGTAATAGTTAACCCCGCATCATGACGTTCGCTTAAGAAGAAGTGACAATGGTACACCACCCTTTCCCTCTGTTCTGGTTGAAACATAATTCCAATCTAACCATCTCTTTGTGTCTGAATAAAATGTCACCTAAAGCCAGCTATTTTATGGCGCAGTCTGTGTGGAAGAACTAGTCCCCGTTAAGACGAGCTGTAGCAATCTAAACATCAGTGTGAGTTTTCAACACTGTGGAAAGGGCAAGCTGAATCACGGTGACCACCCACTCCCCCTTGCTGCCATGTTGGTCAAGTAGCAAAAACAAAATGTTTGGAAAGCAACTTTTTGTTGATCTTGAAGGCACAACTGGACAGGCTTGGTTAAAACTTATAGCAGATCTTGCGTTGCCATATATTTTTCTTATGAGGAGGAGGGCATCCTTCCTCTTTCTTTTCCCCATACGGCGCACGCCTGGGGGCAATTCGTTTGCGAGAAATAGCACAGTCCATGTAATGGAGTTGAAACTGTGCTTTCCGTATCGTGAAGTTTTAGAAGCGGTATTTCACGGACCATTAAGTAACATGGGAGCCTTATCTTCACATGGCACGTAAACCTTGTGGTAATAGTAATTCTTAGTTACTCTTCTATAAGTGCAATTTTTATTGCTACCACAACAGTCTAAATGACCGCTCAAGGAAACCATAACATAATCTTCCACCGTACGGAATAATTCTGCTTTGAACAACTATCGTTTTTTCTTAACTGTCAGAATTCCTGAGTTTCTCTGAACAGGCGGAACGGAAGACGTCACCCCCCCGGGATGGGGGACCATCCATCCACGAGACAGTGGGCCCTAGCCGTTTGCATAAGGATGGACCGATGTGGGTGACCGCGTTGGCACATCTGCTCCTTGTGATGATTCTAACCGAGAGCTCATCAGTGGAAGAGATGGAATCGGAAGCCGACTTCAGGACTTCCATTCCCGCAGGTTGAAAAGGAAGCTTCGCAGGACGTCATCAACGGCGGAGCCACAACCAGCGCTAGACAAAGGCAAGCGATGTTTCACCATCTCGTATGTACCCATGTCTACATCCAACAACCTAAACTCACTAAACAGGCAGTCATTGACTAATTATTTCGAGCGAGTAGCACCTGCTCAAGTGAATGAAATTCGCATAAATAGCAGGAAAAACATATTGTCAGTTCATGTGACAACAAACCATTCTTGGCAGACTGAAGGCCGTCACGCAGCTCGGAAGTATTTTTGTTCGCGCGTTTCTCGCTCAAGGAAAGAAACACGACTGGCGTGAGAATGATGTCGACGATGACATCACAGACGCTGACCTGCAGAATCTTGTGACGTCGACAGGCAGAACGTGACCATACGCCGCTTCGGGCAGTCTCGTTGCATCAAATAGCATTTGATTCTGAACTCTGCCCCCTAGCGTGAAGGTTGGTACGTGACATCCCGTGCGCCCTTACGTACCACGGCCTTTGCAGTGTCACAAGTGCTGCAAGTTGGGACACGTCAGCGCAGTGTGCAAAGTGAACAACTTGCCAGTGGTGCAGCGGGTCTCATAAGGTGGAAAACTGCGATACTGCTGTTCCATTGAAATGCCCAAACTGCTCTGGTGCACATGAAGCAACGTCGAAAGAGTGCCCGAAGATCAAGAAGAAATTCGCGTCCTGCGGAAGATGGTCAGAGACAATTCGACACACAGAGAGCAGTTGCGTAGATCCGCCGACACAGACGTCGTCCAAACGTAGGCACCAGCGAAATCATAGTGGACATAGTGATGCATCACCATCAGCAACAATGAACATACACGTGCACATTATCAGGCCGCTACACCCATGTTGTACGCACCCTGTCCCAGGGATGCAGAAAGTGGACCAACGCCCGCATTGCACGCCAATGCTTCAGATACTGAGTGGCCTTCGCTACCGACCGAGCAATAAAAAAGACCACATCATGGGTGGCAACTTCAAAGGGCGGAAAATGATAGGCAGACACTGAACTAGCCAAACTATGCTGAGCATCTACTAGAATCTATTCGTGTGATTCTCAACGAGCTACACACACCAGGAGCGAAACAGCAGTGCAGATCCTCAACGTGCTGGAACCGCTACTGCTGACCCTTCCATAAACAATATGCGAATTTCTTCGATGAACGGTGCGCACCTCTGCTATAATGCAGTGGAACGCACGAGGTTTACGAAGCCGATTGTCTGACTTTCGACAACGGATGTTTAAATAAATACCAATTTCCGTTGGTTGTAATGTGTGAGCCGAATATGATGTCGTCGTTTCGTATTTCCGGATACGTCACTTTGTGGTCACGTGATGACGGAAATGCGAGCAAAGTAATTATATGCGTACGTCAAGATTTAACGTACGTGAGACATGCCGTGGCTCCTCATGCTTCTAACGACTGCATTTGCCTATCTATAAAGCACAAGCGACGTTCATATCAATCATTGGTGATACATTCCTCCTAGAAGCCACGTGGACTGTTCCCATCTCTTGTCTGTGCTCCAAGCTTGCCCTGGACCACATGTATTAGTTGGGGATTTTAATGCACCTCATCCCATGTGGGGTTCTGCCTCAATGAACACCCGCGGTAGTGACATTGCCGATTTTGTGCTCGACCAGGCCTTATGTCCATTAACGTGCTCACCTACTGTACCTCCGTGCGCATGGGGGGGGGGGGACGTACGTTGCTGTCTAGACGTATGTTTTGCGAGCAGAAGTCTTTTGCCTACCACCTGTTGGTTAGTAGACGTTGAAACACATGGAAGTGACCATCTCCCTACATATATACAGCTAAAAGGATTCCGTCATTCGACTCCCCGGCCTGTGAAAAGCGTAGACTGGCCAGATTCCAAGCTTCTGTAATGTTCAGTGCGGGAACATTCATCTATATCTGAAATAGAAAGCCTAATTGCATCAATCTCAAAAGCAACCAACTAGACCAATTTCGCATGCTATTAAAACATATGGTCATCGACATATTAAACGCATTCTGCTAATACCTGGTAAGGTTGAGGCTGACGAACGGCGTGTCCTGGTCGTACAGCGTGCAAGCCGTCGTCCACGTGTACAGATCTAATAGGGCGAATGCCATGCCGGCGTGCAGATTGCCGTGCAAGTCGCAGTGCTCCTTCTCGAGTCGAAGCTCGTACACCACTTCTCCATCGCGTGTCAAACACGCTGGCTTCACCTGCATATGACAGGATAGCAAGCTGTTGTCACATCGCTAGCAATTTTTCATGGCACATTATTGTATCTGAGGCGTATATGCGAGTGCAGATAGTGGACAGTGTCCTGTCTTTCTACACTACTCTTCAGAGCGTGTACAGCGGAGAGCATGCCTAGCTGCATAGTCTCAGTTGCGCCTGATAAATTGTGTCAGCTTCACCCATTGTCTTCAAGGTTTGGCTATGTCTAACCCGGGTGCCCTACCTTTTGTATGCTCCCCCCTTATGTCATCTCAATCTGCGGGCGACCAATTTCTTACGCCGAAACCCACCAGTTTCTGGGCATCATTATTGATAGGGACCTCTTTTGGAGTCCGCATGTGACCTGTATGAAGAAGCGCCCGACCGCTATTTCCCAACTGTTCAAGTTCCTGACAGGAAAGACAAGGGGGATGTCAGTAGACGCAATGATGGAGCTCTACAGGGCCCTGTTTCTCGGTTTCCTCAGATATAGCTTGCCCGTGCTTAGCAATACCTGCAAGACCAATGTTCGCGTTTTACAGGCAGTACAAGCCCAAGCGCTGAGAGTGTGCCTCGGTCTGCCCAGATGTACGTCAACAGAAGTAACAATTGCAATTGCTGGTGACTATCCGATACAAACTCACATTGTTGTAGAAGTCCGGAGAACGCACATCAGATACTTCGCACGTGCTCCCTGCCATCACCTTGTACTGTTGCCTTCAGAGAGGCGCCAAGCATCGTTCGCCAAAATGATTGTGAAATACAACAATGAACTTCCCTCAGGCTTCACTCCTGCATCTAAACCATCCATACCACCTTGGTGTCTTATTCGACCCACAGTGCATCTTAGTGTACCAGGGATCCGGAGGAAATCTGAGCTTTCGTCGCCCGTGCTGAAACAACTGTCTCTTCCTCTTTTGCACGAGAAATATTCAGACAGCATACATGTATACACCTATGGTTCCACGAACCACCAGTGTTCGTCAGGGGCAGTAGTTATCCCAGCAAGAGGTGTTACCATCAGCTTTAGGACTGACCACTTCACGGCATCTACAGCAGCGGAACTAGCTTTGCGCGCTGCACTTTGTGTGGTCAATCGGGAACCACCGCAACAATGGTCGATTTTCAGCGACTCAAGGGCTGCCCTACAATCTGTGCTCTCAGCACTGCGTCGCGGCCCGTACGAACAGCTTGTTTTCGAAATTCGATGCCTTCTCCACACTTTACTCGAGAAAGGGCATCATGAGACACGCTTTATCAGCTTCGCCAACTGTAAACGTTCGGCGCAAGGCTACAAGGATTTTTTTTTTTTGAGCAGGGAGTGCAGCACAACGACTAACTTTGGCAATGGATGGTCGTTGTGAATACGTGTAAACATTTAGTATACCTTGAAAAGTTAAATTACGAAAACATTCGTGGTGTAGGGCGTTCAGATTCCCTTCCTCGCCCCTCTACTTACGGCCTCCTGGTTCTGCGTGCGTTTGACACGGTATTTTTTTTCATCCCACAGCTTTCTGAGCGCAGCTAACTACCAGTAAATCAACTCAGTTATTCTTAATATTGTAGACGCCTGCTCAACGAAAAAAGGGCGGACAGAGGAAATCAGAATAAGACACGCTCTTTCTAAATATTTTCGATCTCTCACAAGGATTTTATGGAGCTCAAATTCAGTAGATTGGCGTGTCATACTTCAAGGGTTATGACATCATGTGCTAGACAGGAATGATGGGCAAGTACGAAGAAATCTGCATCGAAAAAGCGCACCAGAGTAGCCGAAGTGTGTAGCAGTTCCTGCGCGCGCTCTTTCAGTACTACTCGACGGCAGCGCCGCCACTACGGGCAATGAGGAAAGCATCAGGCGGAGAAGCTATTGGTGTTCTGTGACGAGGCGTGGTCACGCCACTCTACAATTCTAGTACACTCTATGCTGGCGCTCTGAAAAGTACGGCTAGAGTGTACTAGAAGTGTAGTGCGGCCACAGGGTCACGTGGTCTCAAGTGAACGACTGTGCACAGTTTTGCGGCCGAAACTACATTTTCATGCGCTTTTTACCAAAAGACATTGGTTGTGTCTGACTGTTGAAGCGTGATCTGTTCGGTCACATTGCACCTGGTTACAGTGTACTAGAAGGGGGCAGTGGAGTGAACGAGGCGGCCGCACCGCATCTCGGCTGATTCTCCGGTGGGTGACAGTAGCGGCGGCGCTGTTGTCCCACGGTACTGAAGATCTCGGCAGCGTCTGCATTGAGAGCGTGCACACCGATGCTTACGATCCTGTAATTGCCTATTTTTAGCGCGTTGAACGCGTTTCTGAGCCTTTATCAGTGAATGCACCTTCGTCTGCTGACCCGACATGCACAGCACCCGTTGTCTTCTCTACAAGTGGACCGACCAGGCTGTACCTATTCGCGATGCCTCGATACGCATAGGCACATGATCCCTTCAGGCTTTGCACCTGCCGTAATCCCTGCGTGCCTCCGGGACATTGACTAAACCGCTGGTGTGCCTTCACATACGTGGATTTCATATAAGTCGCGTGTTTCTTATATTGGCCTCAAGCAACTCACCTTGGCACATTTAGATGGCCGATACAGCGACTCTGTGCACATTTACACCGATGGATCCGTAACTTCATCCGCCTCAGCTGCAGCCTTCGTGATCCCTCAACTCAGTATTTCCTGACAGTACAAATTAGATCATAGGTCATCTTCGACAGCTGCAGAACTTGTTGCTATACAAGAAGCCATAAAATTTGTGAACGACCAAGCACCGCGTAAATGACGATTCTGTCTGATTCAAAATCACGCTTCAAGCTATCCATTCTTGCTCAAGAGAGGCCAATTTTACGAGTTAACGTTAGGAATCGTCCAAGCATTTGACCTAACACACAGGAGCGGTCACTTGATTACACTCCACTCGATCTCCTGGACACTGCGGCCTAGTTGGCAACGAAACAGCCGATGGCGAAGCAAGAGCGGCAATATACAACGCTCCTATGTACGTCAAAGTACCGTACTCGCGAGGTGACGTCAACACATTGTTGAGATCACTCATGCGCGAATGCGCTGCCACTTACTGGTCGCTACCAGATCACCGAACAAGCGCCTGCGGGAAACAGACCCCGATATGACTTTTCGTCTTCCAAATAAAATCAGCCGAAGACATGCTAATATACTGCACCGAATTCGCCTGGGCGTCGCCTTCACTCGCCACTACACCCCCTAATCGGCCGTGCAGACAGCCCGAATTGTGAACGTTGCCAAGTGCGCGAAACGATAGCTCACATATTTTGTGACTGTGCATTACACGTGGCGCAAAGAAAAATGCTAACTGCAACGTTGGCAAGCATTGGACGAACACCATTAAGTGAAAGCCACATATTGTCAGCAATGAACGACCAAACAGTGTCAAAAACTGCTACAAAGGCTGTTCTAGACTTTATAAAAGCACTGGACTAGAAACTAGACTGTAGGGTATTATGCTAAGTGGCTACTGTACATACGCACCACCTCTTCTTCCCCATCATCACCCTTCATCCCTCTTTTCCTTCCCCTTTCCCTTATCCCCTGTGTAGAGTAGCACGCTAGAGCGAACTAGCTCAGGCCGACCTCTCTGCCTTCTAATAAATTCTCACTCCTCAATCACTCTACCGTACGTGTGAATATCACAGAAACAGCATGACAGTTTTCGCTGCTTGGTTACGCTATCATAATAGCAGTGATTATCGATGTGCGAAAACTGAAAAAAATGTAGTTGTTTTTATTCCCGGTTATAGTTTCCAAAATTCCTTCAAATCGTAACTGAGACCATGCAGGGTTGGCAGCTTTGGCTACTTTTCGCCTATTGCGCTAACTTTTTTATGCCGTAGTGGCTGAAAAAAAAAACGTATTGACCATTTGGCTACTTTGTTGCTACTTTCTTTGTTCCCTCGATTTGAATTAAATGAATAATACCACGAGGCGGCACTGCCGCTTGCGCTGGAATGTGTGGTGTGAAACATTGCAGCAAAGGCACGTTTTGAGCTACTAAAATTACATTTATCTGCAGCATTATGTAAAAGAAAATACTTTTGGACACGTGGCTGGGACTAGGTGAGGGTGGAGGGGGGATAGGTTTTATATGTGGCCTCATTTCTGTGATCAGGTTATTGCAGTGCGCGAATCGAAACTAACAGGAAAATCTAACGTTCTTCGTGCCCATGATGCTCGGCAGCCGTCGACATTGGAAATCGGCTATCCAACGAACCGTTCTGTGTTGTTATTTATATTAGGTAAGACATGTGGTTGTCAATATGACCCATAACCAATCTTTGGTATGCGCCAAAACTTCGTCATATGAACATATTGTGATGTAACGGTGAAGGCAACCTTTATTAGGCCCAGAAGACACGATGAAGCGACCACGCTCAAGGCACAAAACTCAGACAAGCCAAGTCCCTACAGCAGATGAAGATGACGATCACTCATGATGATTAATATGTGTAAAGATAGTAGATGTGCTTAATCAATGCCTACACTAACTTCCCGCCCACGTGAAAGCGGTCATCCTGACCGCAGTTCTTGGCCGCAGTTTAAAGCGAAGATGAAAGCCGTATGAAAGGCTTCATGCGGGATACGTGGACTATTTCTGCTGCCCTGTAGCGGCGGTCCGTCGAAAGAAGAACGGGTGCCACGCGATAATTCACAGGAGACGTTTGCTCCAAGACAGTGTAGGGGCCAATAAAACGTAATTGAACTTCTCGCACAGTCCGGGAGTGCGAATGGGTGTAAGAAGGAGGACTTCGTCGCCAGGGCTGAAAGACACGGCACGATGAGAGGCATCATATTCAAGCTTGCGATCCTGTTGCTTGGCTTCAGTGTTGACGCGAGCCAGCTGGCGGCAATGAAGTAGACGAGACACGTATTCTTCACTTGAAGATGAACATGGTTTGACAGGCGCAGAGAGAACGAAACATCGAGGAAAGAAGAGGGGAAGCGACCGTGGATGAGGTAGAACGGCGAGTA